AGAGGAAGCAGGGGGTTGGTAAACATACCCTTATTCATAATAAACTGTTCGTCTTCTCCAGCTTCATCGTCCATATTATTTTCATCTTGCTCTTCAGATTCTTCCAAATCCCTCTTTAGTTCTTCTTCTTTTTTGTCAGGCTCATCTTCAATTTTATCTTCATCTTTCCCTCTGGATTCTTTGCACTTGTTTTCCGATTCTTCTTGTTCTTGAGGCTCATCCTCCATGTCATCCTCATGTTGTTGTTCAGATTCTTTTTCTCGTTTTTCAGGTTCGTCTCTCTGCTCTGATGGGTCTTCGTGGCCTTCCTCCGGTTCTTCATCCTGTTCAGTCTCATCTCTCTCTTCAGGCTCTTCGTGATCGGTCTGCTCTGCGTTCTGCACATGCGCACTTTGATCTTTTGATTCGTCATCAGTGTCATCGCTGTCATCACTCTCTGCGTCTCGATGGATTTGAACTGGAAACAAAAAAGTTATAAGGAAAAAGTGCTCTGTGCTACAAGTGCTACTTCCTATGGTACCCAATCACAGTATATCAGTTACCATCATAGGGTGCGTCATAACATTTTAGTAATCTTGTGTATTTTTTTTTAACAGTCTTAATTGGAACAACAACGCTGGTCGCAGTTCTTTCAAGAAAAAGAGTAATTTAGCACTGTTGATAACGTAGTTTATCCATTAAACATCAGCGGCGTTTGTTTTAAATTTTACTGGATAACTCTGGCGTTTAAATGAGGCTGACGGCTAATAACTGGATTTAATTTCCTGTCAATTTAAATGTTTTTTTCTCCTCGCCCATCCCGGCCTCCGATCCAAGGGGTAGTCGGTTGATAAGGCACGATTTTTTCACTTTCTCACTGACACTTAAGGCAGAACCTCTGTTTACGCCTCGATCGAGCAACTTTCCCCCATGCTTACTTGAGCTGAGTAAATGTTTCGTACCTTCTTCGATGACTCTCATTTCCATGCCCTCCTCTTGGCCTTTGGAAAACAGTTATGGTATTAATCAAACATTTTCAAATGGCATTTACCTTCATGACTGTAAAATAAGTCAGCTGATAGGTGTATCGAGAAGCAATAATCAGCGTCACCAAAGATAGCTTTTTTTTAAGGTAATCATGCAGAAGTGCAGTCGCCAGAAGGTTATCGCGTGGCAAAAACACTTAATCAGATCTCAAGAACTAATGAAATTTAGTGAAACAAAATTGCACGTCAAGTACTAATTAAAAATCAATTAAAGCTGACATCACAGAGGACCACTCTTAAAAATGGAAACCCTAACAGGACTCTGCTGATGACTTTGAATCCCTTCAGGTTGTCGAAGCGTCGGTCGTGGAAAGACCTTGTAACCGAAAGCAGTTCTTTCCAGTACTACCTTTAACCGAGGAAAATCAGACCAATTGAAATTGACCGGTAAATGTTGTCTCTGGACGTTGCCTAAACTAAGAAATGAATTTCCCCTACCTATGGTTGTTCGGCAGTCAGAGGCTGTACAAAACATTACTTGACCTAATGTCAACCTTAATTATATTTTGACGGAAACTTCAGTTGAGCAGGTTTGTTTTGAGAAACCGCGTTTTTAATACACAACAAAATGATAGTCCTTATTTTCCAATGGTTCTCGATAATCTTACCTTCAGTGTTTTGATTTCGTCCACATTTTTCCATCAAATAGCCCAAGAACTGTTGGAACGAAGATTATCCACGTTTTTGGTGTGGACGTTTGCGAGCCTCTTGATTTTGCTGAGCCGAATTCGTTTCAGATAACGGAAATTCCTACGGTTCCGACGATTGCATCTTTCCGAGACCCTTATTGATTTTCTAGTACCTCGCTACCGTTAATAAGAGGAAAGATTGAAAAACAGATACTTACATAGTCATCATGTTTTTCATGCCTTCAAAAACTCCACGTGGCAGGTAGTCAATGTTGTTTTCATAAACAGCCCTTGAACAACAAAGAAGAAATACATTATTATCAGAAGTGTAAAACAAATTAGAAGTAAACACTCATTTTCATAAACTTACGCCATCTCTATTGATTCTTCAATACTTTCTCCCGAAATATCTTCAGAAACTTTCCGATTTTGAAAACATGTTGAATCCTTTTGGGTAAGGGAAAGAGTTATTACATCCTTAATTCTATTCTTTTTCTGTCTTTTTCTAGTGAACTTCGGGGTAGCAGTTGGTCTTTTGGATGACATGGCATCTTGTTTAGAATTCTGCCGAGCTTTCTGAGGCTTATCCACTCAAAGAGCACGACCTTGATTGTTTTAGAAAACCTTTAAGTAAAAGTGGTGGAAGGAGGAAAGGGGAGTCTATTCGCCCCGCTGACCCTATGTACCACCACAAAAATATTAAATAAACAGTACCAGGATCCCATCACCCAGGTTGATGGGCTCCTAACTGTACTTTCGAGAGTTACTCCTCCCATTTTTTTCAGTTGGAAGTTCTCAAAGCAAGAGTAAATAAAGGGAGCTAAGCAATTAGGCGAGCAAATGATTATCAATCACAGATGCTTAGATATTAACATAGCCAATACTAGCTACTTTTGCTGTCAGGTGTGGTTTCCATGAAATGTTTACTTACAGGTCGCTCAGATTAGAGAGGCCTTGGAACTGATCAGGTGACAGGGCTACAAGGCTGTTGTTATACATGTATCTAAACAATAAAATGCACAAGGCGATCGGTATAATTAAAGTCTTATACCCCGTTTACACTGATAAAACATGTCTAATTAAACAAAGTTTTATGAAACCCTGTTTAATAAACCCTGGTTAACTGATTAACTCGTTCACACTGAACAGCAAGAGTTTACAACAACGCAGCCTCATGTTCATGCTCAGCCTCGTGTTCGTGTAATTGACGTAAAATGTTACAACATCAGATAGCCACAACATGTAAATGTAAACAAAATGGCGGATGGGCGAAATATTGTGCTTTTGTTTTGGAAGAGACAGAGAGAAGAAAGCCGAAAAGTCGCGGAAAATCGCGCAGAGCTGTTCAGGAAGCGACTCTACCGATACCTCCGCCGCAGATGTCTTGTGTCATCTGTTTTTTGAATGTGGTTCACGCGACAACTATTTCCATGGGCCCCAAGTTTACGTGGAGTTTGGAGTAAAAGCAGGTCTCAGTCCTTTTGGGAGGAGACCTGCCAAGGCTGGAGCGATGATGATTGGGTAGAGAACTTCAGGATGTCGAAGGATTCGTTTGAATATCTGTGCGCTGAACTATCACCCCATATCGCGAAAAGGAACACGAACTTTCGTAAAGCCATTGCAGTTCGCCTTCGCGTTGCAATTACTTTGTATTGGCTTGCCGACTCCGCTCGCTACAGAACTATTGGAAACTTGTTTGGCGTTGGAAAATCCACCGTATGTACCATCGTGAAACAGGTATGCGAGGTACTTTCAGGTATTCTTCTTCCTCGGTATATTTTCTTTCCGCAAAATCAGCATGAAG